GCTGTGTCGTCTCCATCTTCATTGTGTTCTTCATCTCCTTCGTTCCCCTGGCTGTCCAGGAACTGACTGAGAGAGGTCTTTGGCGCATGGCTACTCGTTTGGCCAAGCACTTTGGTTCCTTCTCTTTCATGTTCGAGGTGTTCGTCTGCCAGATCTATGCGAACGCCGTCCACCAGAACTTGTCCTTCGGTGGTGCTCGCTACATTGGTACTGGGCGTGGTTTCGCTACGGCTCGCATCCCATTCGGTGTCTTGTACTCTCGTTTCGCCGGACCGTCCATCTATGCCGGTGCTCGTTCCCTGCTCATGCTTCTGTTCGCGACATCCACTGTCTGGACGCCCGCCCTGATCTGGTTCTGGGTTTCTCTGCTTGCTCTCTGCATTTCACCCTTCCTCTTCAACCCCCACCAGTTTGCCTGGCACGACTTCTTCATCGACTACCGCGATTACATCAGATGGCTGTCTCGTGGTAACTCGCGCTCGCATGCTTCCTCCTGGATTGCCTTCTGCCGCCTGTCTCGTACCCGTCTCACAGGTTACAAGCGCAAGCTCCTTGGTGTTCCTTCAGAGAAGGGATCCGGCGATGTTCCCAGGGCCAAGTTCACGAACATTTTCTTCAGTGAAATCATTGCCCCTCTCGTCCAAGTTGCTGTAACCCTGGTTCCTTACCTCTACATCAACTCGAGAACTGGTATCTCCAACGACAACGCGCGCGCGTCGAATGCCGTGGTCCGTATTGCGATCGTCGCTTTCGGTCCCATTGGTATCAACGCGGGTGTCTCGGGTATGTTCTTCGGTATGGCTTGCTGTATGGGTCCCATTTTCGGCATGTGCTGCAAGAAGTTCGGTGCTGTCCTCGCCGCCATTGCACACGCCATTGCGGTCATCGTTCTGCTTGTCATCTTCGAAGTCATGTTCTTCCTCGAGAGCTGGTCGTGGCCTCGCATGGTCCTGGGAATGATCGCTGCCGCTGCAATCCAGCGCTTCATCTACAAGCTGATCATCTCCCTCGCCCTGACCAGAGAGTTCAAGCATGACCAGTCGAACATTGCTTGGTGGACCGGAAAATGGTACAACATGGGTTGGCACTCGCTTTCTCAGCCTGGCAGAGAATTCCTTTGTAAGATTACCGAGCTCGGATACTTCTCTGGTGACTTCGTCCTGGGCCATCTTATCCTCTTCATCATGCTTCCTGCCCTCTGCATCCCCTATGTCGACAAGTTCCACTCCGTCATCCTTTTCTGGCTGAGGCCTAGGTACGTTCAGATTCCACTTCATTCCTACGTTTTCATCTATACTAACATTCCAACAGTCGTCAAATCCGCCCTCCCATCTACTCTTTGAAGCAGTCTAAGCTCCGCAAGAGAAGAGTTGTCCGCTTTGCGATCCTGTATTTCACTATGCTGGTTCTGTTCCTCATTCTTCTCATTGCTCCTCTGGTTGCCCGCGATGAAGGCATCAGCGTGAACCTTAACATCATGAGTCTTATGCAGCCCCTGGATACCGACAACAACGATACCATCTCCAGTTACACTGGTAATGGTCTCCCTGTCGGTTACTCCGCCTGGACCCCGTCCGCTGCGTCTGCATCTGCTTAGAGGTTGTTTTTGTCCTAAATTGTTTTTCAATACATTTTACCTGTCTTTCTTTTTCGGAAATGGAACATGGAAACGAGCTGTATAAAGTAACCAGCGTCTTGATGTCGCTGCCGAGTCTCATACCTTTGCCTTTTATTTTTCTTTTTCGTCTCCACCTTTTTTCCCCTTGACGAAACTGCGTGTATGCTCCTTCAGTTGCCAACATTAATGGGTTCAATCTCTTTCAACTGTTTTGTATTGTCAAGGTGTTGTTCTGTCCTTTATGTATGGTCACTAGACTTGCCAGCTTTTCTTGTATCGTCCCATTGCATCGGCTGCCTTTTGATTTCCTTGGTGTTTATCTAGAGGGCTTCTTTGCCTCTAGTCCTGTTGACTATGAATTCAAAGAGTCTTGAGAGTTTCAGATCCTAATTGTTCCAGTCCAACACCACTCTTACGTAGACGTATAGTACGTTTCCTTGACTCTGTAAATATTATAATTTGAGTATAACTGCATGTTCAGGGTCCTCTCGATGCTCAGTGCTTGATACGCTTCGTGAAACGAGCCGACCTGCAAGGAGCGCCAAGTCACGTGTTAGGGCCGCGCCCATCCCGGAAGTTGGACTTGCCGCGTTGCTTCGAACCTCCGGGAATGCCGCTGCCTTGACTTATTATTCAGTCGCTGATGCTGTCGAATCATTTATAGAGGGTCTTTCCTTCATTTCAACTTCAGACTCCGCTCATCTGCTTCCTGGGTACTTGCGCCCTGAGCGCTAAGTGGATTTTCTCCCGTCATGGATATCCAGGAGACTCAGCGTCTCCTTTCGGAGTACCTCCATGAACTCGCCGACCTCTTCCATCGTCTACCCGGTTCTGCGATCTTTCTACGTTATGTGAAGTCTAGTTACCAGAATGACCCGATCCGCTCGGCTGTCGAACTCTTCCTCTTCTTGTTTGCGGTCCGCTACCTTCTCGCTCCGAAGTATTCGACTAAACCGGGTGTGGTTCAACTTTCGGAGGATGAGGTCGATGATCTGGTGGATGAGTGGACTCCGGAGCCGTTGGTGGGAAAGCCCACTCCGCTGGAGGCGATGGAGGTTGATAAGCGGACGGTCATTGTTGGGTATGTATTGTCTTTCCTAATTTGTTTCCTGTCGGGCATGGTATGCTGACTGTTGGTGACTTGCAGCCCAGTTGGACCCAAGTCTAAGTTGAGCAACGGTCGGACGGTCGCCAATCTCGGTTCCTATAACTACTACAACTTTAACACGAACGAGTCGCTCAAGGAGAAGGCCATCCAGACTCTGCGAAACTACGGTGTCGGTCCTTGTGGTCCCCGCGGTTTCTATGGTACTCAGGATGTTCATATGAAGACGGAGGCTGATGTTGCCTCTTATCTCGGTACTGCATCCTGCATCATTTATGCGCAAGCCTTTTCGACAATCTCTAGTGTCATTCCTGCGTTCTCAAAGCGTGGTGATATCATTGTTGCGGACAAGGGTGTTAGCTTCGCTATTCGCAAGGGTATCCAGATCTCTCGCAGCATTGTTCGCTGGTATGAGCATAATGATATGGAAGACTTGGAGAGAGTCCTTGCAAAGGTTACCAAGGAACAAGCTAGGAAGCCTCTTACTAGGCGGTTCATTATCACCGAAGGTCTGTTTGAATCTTACGGCGACATGGTGAATTTGCCTAAGATTGTGAGTGCTTATCCTCATTATGGTTCCTCTGTGGATTTAGCTGACTAGGTTGAAGATCGAGCTCAAACTCAAGTACAAGTTCCGTCTGATCCTCGATGAGACTTGGTCTTTTGGTGTTCTTGGGCGAACTGGCCGTGGTGTGACTGAGCACCAGAATGTCGATGCGGCGGAAGTTGATATGATTGTGGGCTCGCTGGCCGGCCCACTGATTGCAGGAGGTGGCTTCTGTGCTGGCTCGGAAGAGATCGTCCATCATCAGCGTATCTCGGCTGCTGCTTATACTTTCTCCGCGGCACTCCCCGCTCTTTTGTCTACCACTGCTAGTGCTACGATCAACCTCCTTCAGAACAGCCCCGAGACTGTGACGCAGCTGCGGGAGCATACCAAGGCCATGTGGGCCCAGTTGGACCCTCGCAGTGATTGGGTTTATTGCACCAGTTCCCCCGAGAACCCTATGATGATTCTGGTCCTCAAGCCTGAGGTGGTTGCTGCGAAGAAGCTGTCCCTCGACGACCAGCAATTCTTGCTCCAAGATATTGTTGACGAGGTGAGTGTTGCTAGGCAAAATGGCTTATACGTAAAGATAACTGACTGCTTTGGATACAGTGTCTCGCAAACGGTGTTCTCATCAGTCGCTTGAAGACTCTACAGGATAACTTCGAGCCGAAGCAGATTGTTCCTCCTGCCTTGAAGGTTTGCGTGACAATCGGATTGACGAGAAAGGAGATTGAAAAAGCAGGAACGACCATTCGCCACGCGATTACGAAAGTTCTAAGCAAGAGGAAGTAAAGAATTTCCTTTCCCTTCCATTCTCGTATTTCATTTCCCGGCCTATCCTGAAAGTGGCCATGAACATTAATGCTCCAATGACACGCCTCTTGTACCCTTCTTCTTTCCATTCGTGCCGTTGCCCTTTCTGTTGGTGATATAGAACACCAACCTACATGATTTCTTGTATAACATATTACACCGTGGATTGATGCGACCTAGATGCGTTTCCTGAGGCGTGATTTGAGGTTGTTGAAGCTTCGGGTCTCTATTTTTACTGTGCAGATATTCTTATTTGCCCATATCGGCCTTTATTTCTTTGCGTGCTTGGGCACAGTGAACATTAATAGACATTACATTCTAATATTAATTTTGTGTTCTTGTCCAATCAATGCTTTTCGTGATTCACTTTGTGTCTTGGATCTCAACGCGACGAAAGGGATGTACAGGGATATCCGCTTCACTGACGGTCGAGTCATGACAGGGCCAGAACACCAACCTAGGGCTCTGGAAGAGCACCAAGGGGCCACAGGTTACACTGTGGAATCGATCGGGGTTTCGATTTTGTGGCAAATGGCCTGGACGAGGCCGTGGCGCATTCTCGAGACCAAGGGATCTGCGCAGATACGAAATTAACATTCCATCCAAAACAACCCAGTTAAACATTTGTTTTCCTAGAAGCAGAATAGCGGCACTCCCTTGTCTTCACCCATGGCGCTCCAGAATGAAGGGCAGGTGTCTTCACTCTATGCCAGAGTGAATCGCCAGGAGATGCACTTGGCTGAACGGTGTCCTTAGACAAAATCCGCGTCTTCTGCTCTGTGTCTGACGGTTATTTCCTGGTGCGCTTGACGGTAGGATCTTTGCTTAAATCAACACGTGGATTGAACGTTAAGAGACTGATCTCAAAATCAACTTTGTCAATACAGTAGCAACGGGTTTGCGTTACACCAGCAATGAAACGCCTTTTGTACCTCCTCGTTGTGTTGCTGCTCAGCTATGTTGTCCGCGCACTTCCCTATGGTACGCCCCTGAGACTATGAGTGCCTGACCTACCTATTAACTGAGCTTGTAGACGACCCTGGCAAAAAGCGCGATCTTGGCCCTCTGGGTGACCTTCCAGGAGGTGATGTGATTGTGTGGGTAGACCAAGCTGGAAATGCTCTTGCCAACAACGTCGTGGGCGGCGGCAATTCAAACCCAACTGCGACGGCAGATAATGTAAGTGTAACCCACAAGCACTGCTTCAGATGTCAAGCTAGGGTTCAGACTAATGGAATAGTCACCTGCAACTCTTCCACCACTGTTACCGACTCTCGATGATGATCTGGATCTCTCCCCCGCCGTCCCACTTCCTGAATCTACCAAGCACCCAAAGACCGGAAATTACCGTCGCTTTGGCATCTCCTACTCTCCGTATAACAGCGATGGCAGCTGCAAGACCCAAGACCAAGTCAACCAAGACCTGGAAAAGCTGGCGCAATACGGGTTCGTCCGAATCTACGGCGTAGACTGTGACCAGACGAGCAAGGTTGCCAAAGCCGCGCGGCAACGCAACCTGAAAGTCTTCGCCGGTGTTTTCGACCTGCAGAACTTCCCATCCAGTCTTGACTACATCACCGGGGCTGCCAACGGGGACTGGTCCGTCTTCCACACCATCAATATCGGCAACGAATTAGTCAACGATGGTAAGAACTCGATTACCGATGTCACCAACGCAGTAAACACAGCACGCAACAAGCTCCGCGCCGCAGGATACCAAGGACCCGTGGTAACGGTGGATACTTTCTCAGTCCTGATCCAACATCCCGAGCTCTGCCAAGCGTCCGATTACTGTGCTGCCAACTGCCATGCCTTCTTCGATAACAACAACACCGCTGATAAAGCCGGCCAGTACGTCAAAGACCAAGCCAATAAAGTCTCCAAAGCGGCCCGCGGCAAGAAAACGCTTATTAGCGAGTCAGGATGGCCACATAACGGTCAGCCCAATGGCAAGGCTGTGCCGTCTTCGCAGAACCAACAAAAGGCAATTGCCAGCTTGCAGCAGACGTTCACTGGCGATAATGAATTAGTTCTATTTACAGCCTTTGATGATCTGTGGAAGCAAGACTCCCCTGGTACTTTTGGAGCGGAGAAGTTCTGGGGCATCAATCAACGCTGACGATTGGCATTTTGATCTGCTCCACTTACGTCCATCTGGTGTTGGGCGGCTGATCATCATGGGTAGTAACCTTTCTGACATTCTATACATAGATATGATATGCTTTCGGATTAGATCGCGCAGGTCGTGATTGTTTCGGGAGCTTGTCAGTCGGTATGCCCGTGTGGTGATCCTATTGTTTTGTTTCTATTTCTTCTACATGTTATGTTTCTTCTTCTGTCCAGTTACACAAGTCTTGTGAATAATTGGTTATGTCTCACACAGTATCTTGTGCATATTTGACAGTCACTTGGATTGATGACTTTGGAGTCATCTAATCATATCAATTCAATCATATCATACCATACCACACTCCTATGCCAGTAAAACCCACGTCTGATAAGTTCAAGACTGCTTTCCTCTGCTGCAATTCAAACTAAACCGAAAACCACCTAGTAACTAGTAACTAACTGGGCCCCATCGTCGTCGTCGTCATCAACCACGTACTTCTCATCTTTTACTCGGGAGCCACCCGAAACCCACCCACCCACCAGCAAAAACCAACTTCTTCGGGTAAGCCAGACAATTGAAAAACAAGATCCAAACTAAAACCCGATCTCGGTAATCTTCCCATTCCCACCCACAACGCCCGTTGCGAAAAGTACTATGTTTTGGTACCCAGGTCCGAGAATGGAGCTAGCTAGTCTTATCCATTCTATTCTATTCTACTTCTAGTAAGAAAAAGTCTTGCCACTCGTTCTTAGTATTTTATTTTGATTTGGTGTATTTTCGGTATTGTATGTTATGTATAAGCTGGACTAACTAGTATTTTGTATTTGTGTGGGTTGGTATTCTTGGTATTATTATGTGGTTGTGGTTGTGGTTGTGGTATTGGTAGGTGGTAGCTAGTAGTACTATCTATCTTACTCGGACTGGAGATTGGTCGCTTTCAACTAACCAGCTCTCACCAACTAACAAACTAACTAACTCTGTGTTTTGGAAAGTAGACTATAGGTCAGGCACGTTAGGGGTCCTTATTGATTGACTATTTTAACTAGGTTAAGATGCTGAGTTTTGAGTTATCTGGATTATTGTGGGTTTGGTGGTTGTATGCTTGAGATTTGAGGGAAAAAGTGTCAACAATTAAATGCTTTGCATTATGCCGCTGCATTGCATGCAGATTATAGTAAACTGGAATGGTGTATGCTTGCTATGCTATGATGCTATAATGTGAATCACATGCTACTCCCAACGAAGATTTCTGTGCAGCTAGGCAGCTAGGCAGCTAGCTACCTACTCAAGACTGACGTTCTGCACCGCTTCCTCGACACTCACGGTGGCGTTGGTCTTGGGTTCGCTATCTGTGTGGCTATGCTGCTGGCCATTCTGCAGATGCTCCGTCGGTAAATCCGGCACGGGAGGGGGTTTATAAGTCAAGTCAGCCTGGCCGGTCCTTGTGCGGCCGCGACGACGAGTTTTAGGGGGTTCGGGTTTCTGCGTGGGTTTCTGAGTAACACGGGTGGCGACCGGCGGGGTAGGTGATGGTGCGGTGGTGAGTGTGCTGGTGCTGCTGACGCTGTGGTGATGCTGTTGCTGTTGTTGCTGTGCAAGTCGAGAAGGACTGGCAAGCGGAGTGCAGTGGCTCGTGACTGGGACAGGAAGGTGACCTACTCCTCCATGGCCTGCGTGGAGGTGGGGAACTGTTGAGCGTCGGGGTGGAGGGACAGCTGGAGGTGGGTTGGAGGCTGAACGACGTGAGTGACTGGGGACGGGGGGTGGGACGATGCCGGTGGAATTTGTGCGCTCGCTGACGTTGTTGGCGGTGACGAGGGTTGCTGGTGGAATGATTGGGCTTGTATGTTGAGATTCGGCGTCTTCGGGGATCTTGTCAGTTTGTCCGTGCTCGTCGTCGCGCCGGCCGCGCCAACGTCTTTGTCTCGGAGGCAGAGGCTTGACTTTGGGCTTGCCCAGCAGCTTTGATGGACTCGTTGGGCTATCGATGGCAGCACGGGCATCGTTGCGGCTGGGTGTTATGATGCCAGGCTTCACATGCTGGGATGCTACTTCTTGGACGCTGAGGCTGGAGGATGATGCGTGCTCAAGGTGCATGCCGATTCGTTGCGCTTGGTTGAGTCTGTGATGCGCAGCCATGCTTGACGCGCTGGAGTCTGGACCATCCAGTCTGGTGGGCGACATGTTCTCAGGAGAGCTGTCGACCGTGCTCGTGGGTGAAAGAGTCCGAGAGGATTCCAGTGGTTCCCCGAACTCAGCATCAGGAGGTACACTATCCGTAGGCGTGGTATCTTCATCGTGAACTGGCATTTCTGGTTCGGGGTCTCGAAGCCATTCAACAGCTGCGCATCGAAGAACCAGCCTTCGTGTTGTCTCATCCACGTCGTCGAAGTGCATTATCTTCTCCCGGTCAGGCCCACTCTCGGAGAGCTGACCGTGAACAAGCAGTCTGAGCACCCGCTTGAGCTCCTCCCGCTTGTAAAACGGTGGATACTTCAGCTGTGTATGTGCCAGTAGTGGGTAGAGAACACGCAAGTATGTGTGTCGGAGAGCGGACGCCTCTTCGGGCAGGTCCAGAAGGTTCCGAATGAGGATGTCGACTAGCACGTGAAGATCGTTGGTAAAAAAGTATTCGTAGGTGGTCGGGGTAGTGAAGATGAGGTATAAGAGCTTGAGCGTCAGAAGCTGGAGCGATGTCTCGGCTGCAAGAGTTAGAACCTTCCACCCATTGCGCTTAGGACGACTAACCTTCACGATTGATCAAAAGGATAATATTCTCCCCAAAAGTCTTGTACAGGTTGCCGTGCATGGCCAAGATCTTGATAATCTTGTTCGTCAAGCCATTGGACGTATTCTCATCGACCGGATCATGCGCGGAAATCATGAACTGCTCGTTCAAGACCAGCTGAGCATATCGTTAGCATAACCCCAATACACCCAGACAAATCCATAACCACTCACCAACACCCGAATAACCGGATAATGATAAGGATCATTAACATCGTACGACAGATCCTCAATGATATCAAAGAGGCCCTTGACAAATTCATCATCCACGAGAACTGTACCACCCTTCAGTCAACAAACAACCCAGTCCACAACAATATTACCCAAGAAGAAGAAAACGCACCCAAATCCTCAATTTTAACCCTCTGAATCCTCGACATCTCATACATCAAATCCATCAGCAATCGATGCAACCCCGCAGGGACCTCCTCTTCCTCCTTTCGATTCCGCGCCTGCAGCAGCTCCAACAACCTCGGGAACAAGCCCTCCTCATTCATCATCCGAAACGCCACGTCATGCTGTCGACCGTCGAAGAGCAAGAACGATACGATGAGGTGAAGAGTCGCGGGGTCGTCATCCTACACCACCAAACCAGCATCAGTAAACCAGATCCACACCATCCACAAGGAAGAAATAAGAGAGAAAGAAATCCGAACCTGCAACAACCCATAGACCATCTGTCTCCGCACATAATCCGTATGAGCGACAAAGATATTCGACGCAAGCAATTTATACGAGCACCTCGTAACATCTAACTCGGATTGAAGGTATTCATCTAGAACCATACCACCCAAATATCAGCTCCCCACGTCCCGCATCTTTCAGATTCATATCATCTCATTTCATCATACCTTTGTATTTGGTCGCCAGACCCAAATAAGACCTCAGCGCATTATCAATATGATCTTCCGAGGAGCAAGGGGAGGAAACAATCTCTTGTATCTCGTCCCAGAATTGCTGCTCGTTCTCGAGGGAGACCTCAAAGTCCATTTCCCGGTGCTACTGCTGGTGCGGTGCTAGTGTTGCTGCGGGGGGTGCTGCGGGTTGATCGTCCTCGTCGGCGGGAATGTCGTCGTGTGGTTGTTTCCCTGCACTCATCCCGCCCGCCTTGCGCTTGGAGCTGGGTTGCGAGGAGGGGTGGTGGTGGTGCACTTGCTCCGCGGGGGTGGGGGAAGGTAGAGGGAGGTGGTGTGTTGTGTGATGTGTGTATGTGGTGTGGTAGAAAGGTAGGTAGTATGGAGTGGATGGATGGAATGGAAGTGGCCAAGTCAACTCGGGCGGCGGCGGGGGATTGGCGGGCGATCCACCGGTATTTTTCTGGTCGGGGAAACAGGAGTGAGAACTACTTATCTACGGAGTACTAAGGACGGCCGTACGTCATTCATCAGCACTAAATTGTTAGCTGACTAGCTAAATCTCTTGTCAACTAGATATTGTCTTGAGTCTTATTGCTTGGTATGACAACATGAATTGTAGATTTACAACATTGGATTCTGAAGATATGTGGAAATTATGAATCTGTCAATATAGAAACCAAAGTTGTTGCTCCGGTCCCATGATTAATTGTTTACAGCCACTAGTAAAGTACGTAGTCTATACAACAACAACAACAACATCCTCCCAGCGCCAGTCGCCGGGTTCATTACAGATCGCCTGATATCAGCCTCTTATTCCCAAGCCAGCTAGAGAAATAACGAAAGCATCACGCAAGAGAGAAAAATCGGGGGAAGACGAGGTGATAAATAAAGGGTGACGATTAAAGAAGAGGGTCAATCAACTCATGTGCTCGGGGACGTGGTATCTGTACTTTTCCAAACAAACGCAATAACAAAAACAGCAATATCGACGTAGACTGCACATGCACATGCATACAAAGCCATAGAGAGCATTAGGGTTACTGCGGGCGCTTGAATGGGTGCGCTTCGGTGTTTCTGCGGTCAAGGGTCAGTCTCCAGTGTGCAGTTCTCGTCGAGGCCAGCTTTCACTTACAGCACATATTCGTCCAGACTCACCACGTTCGGGTCGCTGAACAACAGGTAGAAGTACTTGAGCGTCTCCGCCAGCCAGAAGGACTGCATCTCGTCCGTCGGCTTTGGAGACTGGACCGTCACGTCTTCAATGGCCGAATTGGCCAGCTCCGTCCGCGTGTACTTGGACACCGCCTCGAACATCTCCCAGCCCTTCTCGCGCCAGTATTCGTCGCCCGTGAGGCGGTACATGATGAACACCGACTCGATCGCCTCGGGCCGCAAGAGGTACTTGCGATCCACCAGACGAGTCACACCAGGTGGCAGCCGCTCGTTCCGAATCCGGGCCGCGACAAATTCCTCGTGCGAGGGGGCCTTCTCCTCCTCGGCTTCGTCAACGGTCTCCACCGGTTCCTCCTCCTTCTTCTTGATGTCGTCGGGAGGCGTTGCGATGACGTGCCAGTTGCCGCGCTCCCGCTTGGCGTGGGACTTCTTGATCGAGTTGATAGC